CCACAATCCGCTATGGATTGAATATCTGTATTACAATCTAACAGTGGTAATCCGTCCACACCAATACAAATAAAAATTATTTTGCAATTCAGTGCACGGACCTTATGGAGTGAAGAAAAAAAATTTAGTCATCGTGGAATATCATTCATTTCTACACTTTCATGATAGGCCCACTTTCCTGCCCTTCTTTTCATGACGTTGAAGGTGCTCTCCGTTTCTATGCCATCAGTCAGGGATGCCTCATTTTAAAAACAGAATCGACAGCAGTAGCAGGTATAACGCTTCCTTCCCAGAGAGCGATACACATTTATCAACACTAGAAGGAACAAGGGTGAGTGACCCCTGCCGAGCTTAAACTCAGGACCCTTTGAGCGACCGACTGAGCAACGCAACCCCCCATCTGAAGCAGTACGTGGCAAATTCCTTGCTCTAGAGAATTCGTTAATAAGACGAAGATTGCTCTCGAGCGAAATGGAACACTGCACTTCAGTTGTTACACGTAGACTTCTTAGGAACTGTGCCAACAGGCCACGTATAGAATGAAACTGATTCGCGGTTCAGTCCAAATGGGCAACTTCACGGTTTTTCGGTCGCTAGGTCTACCTCTGTACATAGACCTCTGCACTGCCTGCCGCAGGTTTAAACTTGTAATGTGACTTCAGTTCAAACTGAGGTTTAAACGCTAATGCGGTAAAAGCCACCCACTGACCCGCCCTGGACTGAACAGCGGATTGATTTCAGTTTATACCAGTATTGATGAATTACCACTCTAAATGGTATCGTATGCATCAGTAATAATCCACGCTGTTACGCTAGTTAAATAACAACGAAAACGATTAACCATACCAGTACAATAGGCAAAGGAAGCAAACGAATGCCTCACACGAAGAGGACTGTGTAAGATTTATAGAAGAGATGTGAAACTGTGAATCAGGAACACTAGCACCTAATATCTAAACAAACGATTCACATTAACATTTCCATTTCTGAGACAGGATTTAATTGATGTGATTTAAGTGTGCCCTTTCATTGGTTGTTTTATTCGTCTAGGGAAATGATTTAAACAGGCCATGGATCTACAATGTCTGAGCACTTGAGGTGCGTCGAATGCACAGCTGAGTCTCTGGGTTCTGAGGAATAAGGGTGCATTCGACCAGCGACTAAATCTGCCACTATCCATAGAAGTACATGTATATAGAGGTAAGAAGTACATGTATATTTTCTATGCGACTTGTTTCCGTCGGAGGCCGCGACACAGATATAAGTCGACGTTTCGACACACTTCTCGCTTTTGTGAGTTTGCTTCCACCGTTGACCAAATAGCGTTGCAGCTGAGTAGTACTAGTGTGTTGCTCAACGACCGAGTGGACGTCTGTTGTCGAGAGGATCCAGCTGATAATTCAGGATGTCCATCTACTGTCCTTCAGACACGCCAGCCTATCGTCTCTTCGAGCTGTAGGTGGCAATAAGTACGTACTAAAATCGTACCCGACACTGACTCTCGCACCAGGAATATGGTCTCG